GCAATTAGGTTCACCTTTTTCTACCTCTCTCAACTGTGAACATGTATGGCACTGTTAATCAATGTGACAGTTTCTGCTTATACCTGTACAGGATGTATAAGAAAAACTGAGACCAGAAAAATGGTTTTGGTTCTTTTTAAGTGTTTCAGGGAAGCATCCAGGTGTAATTTATTTATCCTTTGTTTATTGAATAAGCCGCATTTTATTGATATTAGTGGGGAGAGATAGGTTTAAAGGAACTTTCTTGCTTTCAGCAAGTGAGTAATGCATTTGTGATGCAGGAGTTCAGTGTATACAGTAATAATCTGTACCATAAGAGAGCCCACCTCCTTCAGCATTTGCCATTACTTCTGGATTGGACAAGCAACTGAAGTTACTGTTTTGGTTGGCCAAAGCTAAGGAAACAGTGAAAGCTGCACAAATGACTATTTTAAACATCACAGTTATAAGAAAGAAATTTGATAATCTCATAAATCGTAGAAAGATCACTTACAGTAGAAAGATTATTAGTTTTAATTAAAATTTGGATATAATCTCTTCATCTCAACTTGCAAAAATTGCGATTTCAAAGTCAATGAAAAAGTATGAAGTGTAATTATTATATTTTATTTTTTAATATAGTGACCCTTTTATCATTTTTTCTGGTGGACTTTCTTATGATAAACCTTGGCGAAGGCCAGAGCTGACAATCATGCATGGAAAAGCAATTACAGTGCTTGAAATGGATCACCCTGTGGTTGACTTTTTAACTCTTTGTGAAACTCCATACCCAAATGGTAAGTATGTGTAACAAGTTGAATAAATAACACAACAAATGAAGAATAGTAACTGCATTGCATGACATTGCCATGAAAAATTCCATAATCCTTTTATTAGGCCAAGTAAAATTTTGTAACAGTTCCAGATTTCGTTTAAAAAAAAAAACAGAAAAATCCTTCATGAGATACAGTGAAGGAGGAAGGGGCTGATTAAGATTCTAAAAAATGAAAAGCGGGCAATAATTATAAAAAACCACTTGAGCCAATTAAGTTTCCTGTTCTGTGTATTTTTAAGTCCTTGACTTACAACAGTTCATTTAATGACCATTCAAAGTTACACTGAAGCCACTGGAAAAAAAAAGACTTATAACTGTTGTAGCATCCCCATGGTTACATGATTAAAATTTGGATGCTTGGCAATTGACTCATATTTATGACAGTTGCAGTCTCCTGATATGTGATCACCTTTTGCAACCTTCTTAGAAGCAAAGTCAATGGGAAATCCAGATTCATTTAACAACCATGTTACTAATTTAATAACTGCAGTGATTGACTTAGCAACTGTGGCAAGAAAAGTTGTAAAATGGGGTAACATTCACTTAACAAATGTTTCACTTATCAACAGAAATTTTGGGCTCAATTGTGGTCATACGTTGAGGGCTACCTGTATTAGGTATTTTGAAACAAATAAAAACTAAGAAGAACTAATTTAAAGTAGAGGAAAGAAAGGAGGGGGGAAAAAACAAAGTAAAAGCCAAAAGTGAAAAGAAAGAAAGAAAAGAAATAGAAGTAGCTTCTAATTTTGTTTACAGCAATTATAAGTATAAATATAAAATTATTACTTATTTTTTGGTTACAACCCCCCCCCTTTTTGTTATCCATTTTTTTCTAATCACAACATAAATCATAAATTCATTTTTTTCTGTTTCACCCAGGAATTTCCAGTCAACAACAAATGCAGATATTGTCTTTTCTTTAATTAAGCCATCTTTGCAAATTTCATCATCTTCACCAACCATTATGGCAGATCTTTTCATGTTTCTGCATATGATAATGTTGCTACAGTTATCATATATAAAAATAAAGTTCTATGACCTTTTTTCCAACTATTTATCCATCAGTTCAATAAGAAAAACCTTAATTTTTGTGGATTTAGATTTACTGCAATTTTAAGAGCTTAATCTGACAGCAATGTGTTGTCATCCAGGAAGAATCAGGACCATACATTAAGTTCCAGTTAGGAAGGTTCATTGCTCAAGTCTATACATAAGAATCTAGTTAACTAACTGTCAACACTAAACTGGTACTTGGTGAGAATTCAAAGGGGGGCTGGACTTGGATAATTTAGGGGAACAGACTGTTTCTTTTCTTGACTCTGACCCAGGCTCTTCCTCTTAATCTCCTACATCACCCTCCTCTCCAATCTGCCCTTCACTACTTCCATGGCTTGTTCAGAGACATCTTTCCCTTCCTACATGGGCTTTTCAGAATCTGAGAATCATGGGAACTTGACAGAGGAGGCAGTGAAGCAATTTCTAAGAAATCTTCCTCCCTGCCTTCTAAAACAGCCATAGAACCAGGTGGTGGTTGCTAGAAAACACAAGAATGTTAGTAGGTCCCTCTCCCCTTACCTTTAGGGCTTGAAGGCCAGAATTGAAAGACCCAGCATAATCATGTGCTCTGCCTGCCTCTAGATGTGCTGGCAGTAGTTGGTTAAGGTTGATTCCTCAGGTAGTACGGCATGGAGGGCCAGGAGCTTGGTCGATTGTGTCTTCTCAGGGAAATTGTGGAAGGAGCAGGGATTCTTGCATTCTCCCAAGAAAGTTCAGTTTCTGAGCAGATAGATTAAATCCAGTAGATTAAATATTGCCTACCTTTGCCCTTTCACCTAGAATACAGAATGCAATACAGAATAACAGATTTGGAAGGGTCTTTGCAGGGACTTCTAATTCAACCCCTTGCTCAAGCAAAAGATCTTATAATATAAAGTCCAGTATTTCTTCTACTTCATATTCTGGTCGTCCATCCATGATCACTGGTAGTTGGGGCAATTGCTGGGAGCATGGGGTGTTGAGGGGCTTTTCTTTAAATAGCAATGAAGGGTGAAAGACTGAATGCATGTTCATGGGGGAGGGGGCAATTGCAAGCGAAAAACTACAACAGTTGAATTGTCGGATAATCTTGAAGAACTGAACAAATTTTGTGTCTAGTTTTTTTTATGGCCTTGTTGAGATCAAAAACTTAGTAGAGAGCCAGAGTTTGACTCCTTCAGCTATCAGTGGCACTTCCTGTCAATGGGCATCCACAGCTTTCTCATACAACTACTTTGCCTGTTCTCACTGCTGTATTGATAGGGTTTGGGCAGCAATTTCTTATAAAAAATCCACAGTTCCTGGGACAGAGTTCTCCGTCCTAGGGTTCTCTGGTAAAGCTCTTGGGTGTGTGCTGTACAATGCTTTGAAAGGGAGTCATTGTAATTGATATGTGGAGAGAGTTATTATATGAAAACTCTGTTAGTAGAAGCAGTGATGGCCAGTTATCTTGGCTGTAGATGCATTTGGTTAGTCTTCTTCACCTCACTATTCATGGCTGAAGATAAGTTTACTTGAACATTCAAAAGTTGGAACAGTGCTCTCCAAAATCTGGATTAAAATTGATTGCTCATGTTGGAAATTAATTACACCACGCCTCTATAGTGAAAAATATGGTTGAGCTGTTTCTTTGGCAATCCCTTCCAAGGGTTGAAGTGAGACATCTTGATAACAAGATCCACCAAAATTAGTATGTAATTATTGATCAGGAGGTAAATCAATAATCCAGAGACAGTGTGTGCCATGGGTGGGGGATGGGTGTGTGTGTATAGATGAGTTGTAACAGCTTCAGATAGTAGGATTTGGCCCTTCTGCAATATGCTATGTAGTCCTTGATGTCTGCTGCCATCTTAAGCTTCTTTTAGTGTTCTATGCCGCATCTTGAACACTTCTCCATGCCCCACTGTCTGGTTATCATGGCAAAACTGCAAAACTCTTATCTGAAAGGTTGGGAACTACAATTCTTCTGTTTCAAGGCCACTCCCTCCACCATGAATGGAGATATGATGGGGATATGGTGGGGTTTCTTGGAAGTCATCCATCCGGGCCCGCAAGAACTGGTCCAGAGGTTGATGTGCCTTTATTCTGGTGATTAGATTCTGGTGTGATTGAGTTGCACTCAACAAGTTTTATTGTTTTTTTAAGACAAACATAAACACAACATAAAAACATCAAACCATCTTCCATATATGTACATACAGTGTGTTGGTTGGTTTACAAATTGTTTTGTGCTTCCACTTTGTAGTCTTCAATTAGAATTACATTGTATATGTTCTCATATTGTCAATCAAATATTCCTAAATACAATATCATTATTAATCAATCATTTGACTATGCTATTATTCATTCATGTTTTATGAAATAATCCATATTTTACTTAATTTACTTTATGACAGTTCATATTTCCATCTCAAATCTATCCTATAATCATTTTGTAGATATAATAATAATAAAAAAATACATTGTGTTCTAAAAATCTACAATTTCATTACCATTTTTTATTGTCTAACCACTGATAGAATAGATCCCAAATTTTATAAAATTGTTTATCTTCTTGTTCTCTGATTTCAAATGTCAATCTACTCATTTCAACACATTCCATTATTTTCTTAATAACTTCCTCCTGTGTTGGTATTTTCTCATTTTTCCAGTTTTTAGCAAATACCATCCTAGCCGCTGTTAATACATTTACAATCAAATATTTCAATTCTTTACTATATATTTCAGGTAAAATTCCCAATAAAAACATCTCTGGTTTCAAGTCTATATGCTTTTTTGTCATTTTTTCCAACCACATGTGGATTTTAGTCCAATATTTTAGCATCCGCACAAGTCCACCACATATGGTAATATGAGCCAGGTGTCTGATGACATTTCCAACATTTTTCAGATTTGTTCTTGAACATTCTTGCTATTCTTGTTGGGGGAAAATGCCACCTGTAAAACATCTTATACAAATTTTCTTTATATGTTGTTGACATTGTCATTTTATAATTTTGAGAACACAATTTTTGCCATTTCTCTAAATCAATCCCATATCCAAAATTCTTCCCCCAAGCAATCATTGTTTCTTTAACTTGTTCTTCCTCTAGTTTAATTTCTAATAAATATCCATACAGTTTTTTAATCACCTTTTCACCAGTACCTGTCAAAATCTTATCTAAATCAGTCAATTTATCATAAAAACCTTTTGTTTTAGAATCTTTATCATACCTAGAATGTATTTGCGCATATGAAAACCAATTCATCTTTATACTTTGTTCCTCTAGTTTTTGCATAGATTTAAGTTCACCCTTTTCATTCATTATTTCGCCATATCTAACTGTTTGTTCCTTTTTGTATATTATAGGATAAGAAAATGCTTCAATAGTCGATAGCCAAACTGGAATTTTCAAATAACATTGCCTTTTAGTCTTCTCCCATTTTAACCACAGAGACTCCCATATATAATGTCTTCTAAAATACCCCTGTGTTTTAGTTCCTTTATACCATAAAAAAGCATGCGACCCCAACAGCAGATCATGTCCTTCTAGTGTCAACAATCTAGCGTTTCTTAATGTTATCCATTCCTTGACCCACATCAAATTTGTAGCTTGGTAGTACAACTCCCAATTAGGCAAACCAAATCCTCCTCTTATTCTAGCATCTTGCAAAAGTTTTAATTTTATTCTTGCTTTCTTACCTTGCCATATATATTTCAACACGATTTTATTTAAATCTTCAAAATAGTCTTTTCCAAGCCTAATTGGGATTGTTTAAAACAAATATAAAATTCTGGGTAATATATTCATCTTGATATTCTCCCTATTAATGACAGCTGTAAATTTTCCCATTTCGCCAAATCTAGCGCTATCTGTTGCTTAAGTTTAATATAGTTATTCTCTTTTAGTGTACTACATCTTGCTATCAGATGTATCCCCAAGTACTTGATCTTATTTGTGACCTGGATTTTCAATACATCCGCCAATTCTTCCTTTTGTCTTGATAACATATTCTTTGTCAAAATCTTTGTTTTGTCTTTATTTATTTTCAAACCACCTTCCCATATACCTCTATCTTTTCTATCAATTTTAATGCTGTTTCTAGTGGGTCTTCTAAAATAAAAACCAGATCATCTGCAAATGCTTGCAACTTAAATTCTTCCTTTTTAATTTTCATCCCTTTTATATCATTTTCTTCTCTAATATTTCTGTTTAGCACTTCCAAGGTTAACACAAACAACAAAGGTGACAGTGGGCACCCTTGTCTTGTTCCTTTTCTTATATCGATAGAGTCTGTCAGTTCTCCCTCTATCATTACCTTTGCCGTTTGGTTATGATATATAGCTTCTATTGCTTGGGTGAATTTTTTACCAAAGCCCATCTGTTCCAGCTGTAATAACATGAGTCGCCAACTCACATTGTCAAATGCCTTCTGTGCATCTAAAAATATCAAAGCCATTTGTTTTTCAGGGTGTGCCTCGTAGTATTCCAAAGTGTCCAAGGTTACAATCATATTGTCTTTAATTTGTCTCTTTGGCAGAAATCCATTTTGATCAGGGTGAATAAAATTATTTAGGTATTTTTTAAGTCTTTCTGCCAATATTGAAGCAAAAATTTTATAATCTGCGTTTAGTAGGGAAATAGGTCTATAGTTCTTGATTTGTAATAGGTCGGCCTCCTCTTTTGGGACAAGTGTAATATAATAGAAGGTGTATTGTTTAGTCTTAGCATTTCTTTCTCTCCATGTATCTTTTAAATTTATTTCATCTATCATTTTAAAAAAGGATTTAGGGAAAGTCTTTCTATTTTGCTTTGTTGTTTTCTGTGTTGTATAGTCCAATTTATTGTCTACAATTCCATTAAAGTTTCCCATCATAACGCTATTAGCATAGTCCAGTTCAATTATTTTCATATGTAGTTTTCTATAAAATTCTTCTTGATTGTCGTTCGGGGCATAGATTGCAATCAGGAGTGTTTTCATATTATTGTCCATTATTTCCACCATTAGTAATCTTCCATCGTCAGTATAAATCAGTTTCGCTGGGATAATATCTTTAATATATAAAACTACTCCTCTTTTCTTGCATTGTATCGAAGAAGTAAATATTTTCCCTAGCTTTGGCTGTATCAACAGTTGTTCATGTTGCCTTTTAATATGTACTTCTTGTAGGCAGATTATATCAAATTTTAATTTCTCTAATTTATGGAAAGTTTTCCTTCTTTTAACAGCTGAGTTAAGTCCATTTATGTTAATTGTAATCAGTTTTTTCTCTTCCATGATTATACTTTATAGGTAGGTTTGGCAGCTCTTGTAGATCTTGGTTCACGTTGTTCTTTAACTTCCACCTTTCCGCCTATTGCACCTTCTTCTTTTTCAGTCGCTATTTGGCAGTCCTCTTGGAATTCAATTAATGACATTTCTTTTTCTGTCTCCTCCTCTTTCCCTCCAAAATATTCTTTATAAAAGAATTCAGCTTTCTCAATTGAGTCAATTCTGTGTCTCTGTTCTTGCCATATGAACATTATACCTTCTGGAATCAGCCATCTATAATTCACCTCTTTTTAAAGTAGAATTTTAGTCAGGAATTCTCTTCTCATCTCTCTCACTCTTCTGGGTATTTGTTTCAGGACCATAATCTCCTTATCTTTATATTTCAATGTTTTCTCTCTTGCCGCTTGCAATATTTACATTTTAATGGCTTTCTTTGTAAATCTGATGTGAACTTCTCTTGGTAAGCTATTTCTCATTGCATATCTTGTGAAGACTCGAAAAACCTCATATATTCCATCCATCATCTTCTCTTTGGTTATTTCCAGAACTTCAGCCAAGATTTCTATCATTATCTCCGCTAGGTTTTGTCCCTTTTCTTCCTCTATGTTTTGGAATCTGAGATAAAATTTTGATTTGTCCATCTCCCATCTCATCATCCCACTTTTATCTTGTTCAACCACAGTTAATCTGCTATCAATATCTCCAATCTTCTTATCCCTTTGTTTATCTTCTTCAATTTTTTGGAATCTCTCATCATATTTCATCATCATTTGTTAAATGTTCTCCACCTTTTCATCAGTTTTTCCTGTTCTTTGTTCTATGTTCTCTGTTCTCTTTTCAATATTCTTTGTTCTGGTTTGTATATTTTGAATTCCTTGCACGTCACCTTTTCCTGTTCTTTTTCTTGTTGTAACATCGTCTGTATTGAGCATTGTCCTCCAGATAGTGAAGAGGAAGAAGTAGAAGTTGAAGAACCAGCTGCTGTTAGTTTTCTGCTCATTTCAAACAATTCAAAATCTTCAGGTTCTTCTAGACCTTAATCCACTCGTAAGATAACCAATTGTAATTCCAAGTAAAAATAGTGGGGAAAAAAGAAGCCAAATAATAATAATAATTAAAAAAAAATTCTTCGGGCTCTTGTATACCTTAATCCAATCGATTAGTTAAATAGCAGTAAAAACTCAAAAAAGGAAGAAAAAAAACCATAAACCGAAAAAGGAAAAAAATAGTTAAATCTTGCAGGAGGTGGAAAAATAGAAAGTAAAAAACTAAAGAAGAAGAAAAAAGGAGTTCTTCAGGTTCTTCAGCACCTTAATCCAATTAAGAAGTCTCAGGTATGAAAAGATATGCAAAAAAAAGGAAGGCACAAAAAAAAACAATATGGAAAGTAAATGAAAAAAAAATACGGGGTAGTGTGAGAGAGAAAAAAACTACTGCCTTTAAAAAAAAGAAGGAAAACATCAATACTAAGACTTTTCCTTTAAAAAAAAATGCAAATTTAAAAATTAAGCTTCAAAAACAAAACAAAAAAGACAAAAACAAGTTCCAAAAAGCCAAAGATCCAAATAGCTATTACAAAAATTAAGCTAATGAGGGGGTTTGTTAAAGTAAGAAATAGCCCAGCTTAAAAAAAGTAGAAAGAGCACACTGCACCTTATTTAGTTATCCAAGGCTTTTGTTAAAATTTATAACTCTCTTCTCTAGAGTCTTATCGTCTTTTTTCTCTGTAAACTTCAACACCAGTCTCCAACTACTGATAGAAACCCAGAAGAGCACCTGCAATAATACTCTCCCATGCTCTTCCCTCTATCTTATCAAACAGGCTCAAAGTCCTTGAAAAAAGTCTTAGATCTTTCTCAGCTTTGTCTGGTCAAGAGAAAAAAAAAGAGAGAGAATATTTCCAAGCCTTTAGTTGGCAGTGTTACAAAGTTTCCTCTGCTTTCACTTTCCCCCTCCTTTTCCAAACAAGATATAATAAAAATTAATTAAAAAGGGAAAAATATATTTTTAAAAAAAGACTAAAAGGGAGTCTCTAGCCTAAAATATTATAGAGTCAAAAAGGAGAAAAGACAAAAGAGAAAAAATAGGTAGAAAAAAAACCCAGTCCAGTTTCAAAGTATAAGATCATATATAAAAAGTCCAGCAAAGAAAAAAATAATTAATTTGACTTCCTGTTTAAAATCGCCGCTTAATCACTTCTGTCTAAAATTTTACAGATTCTTTCTTTTCCTTAGGGTGTCCTTTCAAATCTTAAAATAAAGAAAAAATTCTCACCAAACTGGCACACTTTCTCTTTCCATTCTCTTTTGTTTCGGAGCTGTCCCAACTTCAGCAGCTTTAATGGCTGCCTCTTTGCTGCTGGCAAAAAGAGCTTCTCCTGGATCTACCAGGGACTTTGCAGTATCCCTGGGATCGACAGGATGCGCTCTTTACATTCACTGTCTCTTTGGGATGGTTTAGATCTGTTCAGACCATCCAGGAGCAAAAATATCAGCAGCGATATCAGACCACCAAGATCGCAGGCCGTATCGTCGTCACGCCAGCTCTGTCCTCTCATGAGTTGCCCTCAACATTTTGGATAATGGTGAATCTGGTTACTTACCAAAAATGGAAAGATTTTAAAATACTGGTTGCCACCAGGGGATAATGAATTTGAGAATATTCTGGTTTGCAGGATAATGCATCTGGCATCAAGTTCTTTGAGCCAAGGTTGTGCAGTCGTGATCATAGCAGAACAAGAGAAACTGAAGTAGCATGATAAACCTATCATTTAACTTTTTTCAGTCTTTTTAGGATTTTTCAGACTCTATTCTGCGTAAGTTGATTATCATGCCTTTTCCATAAGTATATACAAACAGAAGATTTGCACATAACATTAATTAAAAGTTAAGTATTACTCAGTATACTTGTGTACATTCCCTCCCCCCTCTCTCTGCAGTATGCTTGCTATAAATTGGAATAGTCTTTCCATAAGGATTTGATAGGTTACATGGGGAAAAATTACATAGAAGAATTATACTATTTAATACAGCATGTTTATTGGAACAATATTTATGCTTAATCTCACACGAGGAGACATTAAACCTATCATCAGAATAACATCAATATCTATATCAGTGTTCCAGGAAAGTATAATATATTAATCTATCAAAACTGAAATTCTGGGTTTGGAAAATTCTTTATTAGGATTATATATAAATTCTTCATTTGTTCAGAACAATGGTTATATGGATATCCTTATTTTATATTCTAATTCACTAATATTTGTGTTTATATTTTTATTTGTATGTAGAAATTCAAGAACCCTATGCTGTTGTTGTACTATTGGAAAAAGACCTAATTGTTGTTGACCTGACTCAAAGCCAGTAAGTATAATTCCAAATGCGGCTAACAATAATTCCTGGGAGAGAAGCATAGATTTGTTGTTGAATTTGGAAATATAAAGTAATATGACAAACCAAAGCCAAAATGTTTTCAAAACAAACAAATTCACTATTCGTTGATACTAGGATTAATATTTTAGATATTTTAGCTATCTGTTTCTTTGTTAAACATATCCTTCCAAAATTATGGATTCTAGTAAATTATAAAGATTATAGCTTTAAAAGATGCTTCTCCATTCCCCTATTTTTCTGTGTTCACTGCTTTTAAACACCATGCCTTACTTTTAAAATGCAGGTTTTCAAAATCACCTGTTTCAAAAACTCACTAATGGAATCAGTGATCAATTTGCCTTAAAGCAGATACTTTGGGAAGCAACAATGTCTCAACAATATAATTCATATAATTGTATACTAAAATACGATTGTGGAATTTTTAAGTTTCTCTAATTTTGGTTGTTTGCTTGCAGATGTTTTGTTACCAAAATAAGTAATATATTTAGTGTTGTACTGCATACTGCATCTTGCAGGATAGTCTAGAAGCAGACAACCAAACTCAGAGAACCCCAAGGAATCTACCATTCAACCTTGAGTTACATATATTCTCTTCTATTGGTACTAAAAAGTAAAGCAAGAAGAGAAAAGTATCTACATTTTGCCATGTTCAAACCCAATCAAAGATTATTTTTTCATTCCTTTTTCTCTATGATAACTTGGTGACTCATAATGTTTTTAGAGGAGGCAGCTTAGTGCATCAAGCAAGCATAAATATTCTAGAAAAATGTCTTTATTCAAAATGCCTTTTCATAAAACATAATGGGAGAGAGAGTATTGGGAACGTTTTCACATCTTCCTTTTGCATTTTTTCTTAATACAAAGGAAAGGAAATGGAATCAGTGCACAATACTATTTGATTAGTCCATCCAATCAAAGATCTAATCAAACATTGAGAGAAAGGGTTAACCAGCTGTGTTATCTTCTTTCTCTCTCTACTTCACTGATTATTTATCTTTTGTTGCTTCTTTGCAATACATGAAGAAGCTCAGAGTTGTATTTTTTATTAGACTCCACCATGGTTGAGGATATTTGGAAATGCTATTCATTAAAGCAGCCCACCTTTTCCCAGACCTTCATGTGAGCCTGTAAAAAAAATCATGTCTGTTTTAAGGAGCTGCTGAAAAAAAGCCAGGGTTCATGACTTCATAAGAGAGGGGAATGCTTTTCAGATGACTTTTTAAAATTGTATATAGAGCCTACATGTTAGAGGCATCTCTGCATCGTTTGCCACTTGTAAGTCAGTTTAACTTTCATCGCAGCAACAAATGAACATTAGGATCATAATTATACAGCTGTTGATTTATTTTTTAATTTTCTTTTACCTTGCCCGTTTAGTCTGAAGCAAATCTTTCTAACTGTTGACAAAATTAAGTACAATGTCCTCTTTCTAAAACAATTCCCTTTAGACTAAAAAACCAGCATAGCCAAGGGCCTAACTGAACCAAAATGATAAAGGTGTGTCTGGGTTATAGAGTGGAATCTTGCTTGCTTAATGAAGCATCTTATTGGAAAAACAAATACTGTGAAGCCCTTCTTCCTGACATTTCCATCTTCCAGGTGCCTTGAAATCTTTGCGTCAATCCTTGTGACAATCTATCTACAGCAATAGTTAAACAGGTTGATTGTCTCTCATTGAGTGATGCCATAGCAAGAGATGAATTGATTTAATCTTACTCTGTTGTAAGATTCTGCAGAAGTGGCACCTGCAATCTAAAATGCCATATTCACTAACTCAGTGAGACAGCTGAGACAACCAAATAAATGAAGCACCCATAAAAACCATGATTCTCTAAGAGATGAAGAGAAAGGATTCGACTACCATTTGTCTGATTGAGCTAGGAGAGCTATTTGTCTGGGAGGAAATCCAGTTGAAGTTGGGACCTGGACTGTGTTTGGATGTTTATTGTTCCTTGGTGATTGCATTCTTCTTTATAATTGTTCTCAGTTATTGTTTTTCTACTATTATTGGTTTGCCCTTTGTTAAATTGTGTCACCCTTTTCATCTTCTTAGTATTAGAAGGAATGTAGGCTGCTCAGAATCTCAGGTTTGGAATGGTATATAAGCCGCAATAAAGAACATTTAAATTATTAGTACTCATCTTTAATTTAATTGGCATACAAATACTTTTTTTATCTCACTATCTACATTTGTGTCAAGAATGTGTGTGTGTATATATATTTAGTAATATTTTCCTTTTCAAATAATAAATGTATTAAGTAATTTTGTCTTTAAAGGGTATACTAATACTTGTTTTTTTTCACTCAGTTTTCCCATTTTTGAAAATCCTTATCCCATGGATATTCACGATTCACCTGTTACCTGCACAGAATACTTCGCTGACTGTCCTCCAGATTTGATTCCTGTGCTATATTCTGTAGGTGCAAAACATAAAAAGCAAGGATATAGCAATAAGGTAAAGAATAAGAAAAGGGAAAGTGTTATTGAAGCAACACTAATTAAAACAGATTACTAGTGTTCATGGTAATGTTTCATTGCTCTTTGCCTACAGTATTTATGATATTTTGGTAGGGGTACTGTGTCTTAACAGACTCTGATATTGGGCCTGCCCTATCCCCTTGTCGAGGTTCCTATCCTCTTTCTCCCTGTCCCTCTGTCCCCATCCCTTGTTTCTGATAAACCCTTGCTTTTTCTCTTAGAGACAAGAACAGAAAGAGAGATGGCGATAGAGGTGTCACTTCTAACTTCTTGTTACTCTTGTTACAAGAGAATCAGGTTATTATTAATTGGCCTAATTTTTGAGCTCACAGCACTTAAAAAATATCAAATGTACTCAAACCCCCAAATTTGCCTAGCTTTGTTATATTTTATGTAGAAACAAATTATATCTGATTATTGATACTCAGCTACCATAAACAGGAGGCAAGGATTTGTACTTGAATTTGATTCAAATAGGAAAACAAGCAGCTGTGAATCATATAAAAATGAATCTGGCTGTTTTCTAAAAAACTGATTCAAAGTCCAGACTGAATCTATTGGTTGGAATACATCTCTGCATGTAGTTAGGGTGCCTGAGTTCTGAATTCTAGCTGAAATATATATACAATCACACGAGATAGAATTCCAGGTTTCTTAATATTGGATCAGATTCTGTGAGCTTGCACAGTGAAGGCTAAACATTTATTTTTGCTTTAAATACAGTTGATTTCCTTACATAAATTTTACTCTATTTTACTCATACACCAAAAGGGGAAAAAACACCATGGTTAAACATAATATAAAACACAACCTAGTAATTAGCTATTAAATGTTTTTCTAAAGCATTTGAGTTACCATGTAAATACAAAAGATAATAGTTTTGTGAATTAATTTGTCATTGAATCTATAATGAAGTGGCAAAAACATGCTAATGCAGTACTAGATAGATAGATAAATGGATGGATGGATGGATAGATAGCTAGATAGATGGATGATAGATAAATAAATATTTTTTTTTTTAGGAGTGGCCTATCACTGGTGGAGTATGGAACCTAGGATCACAAACATATCCTGAGATTATTATTACAGGGTAAGGAAAGTGCTACTAGCTGTTGCAAATAGTTGAATGTTTGTTATTTGTTGCTTAAAAATTTACTCCATCTTTCTTTACCGTGTATCCTTAACGTGAATAACACCAAATAGACAAGTAAAAGTAAAAAAGTAAAAAATTACTCCAAATCAAAAGGCATGACTGAAAAGTCCAGTTAATAAACAAACTAATATCTAGACAGCCCCAAGAATTCATAAGCACATTGTTCCAATTTGCCTTTGAAATATAAGTGATTTTCCAACAGAGAATTGGGTGACTTAGCTATTAATAGGATTGTTGTTCCCCTTAGTCTATTGAAAGGAAGAGCTGAGGGTGAAACTAGAAGTAGATTCAAGAAAACACAAAACCACATGAGATAAGCTCAGAATTCCTCAAACACCTAGAGCTATTATGGTAGCAATGGAGAAAAATGTTTGCTAGTGTTATATTTATATTATATTTCTCCTTAGGATAAAATTAATTTTACAACACAATGTCCCTCATGGAAAGTTTAGAACTTTAGGTAGCTTTCTATGACAATTTTTCAGAATTTACACTCAGTAAATTGTCCACATCTGCTCTGATGTTCTCTCCATCACTGTATGAGAATTTTAAAGTTATCAATATCCTCATCTGAGAAAAAAATATTGAATTAATTGTTGTTTTTGATATCCAAGAATATTGATAGGACCCATGGTTTTCTCTTCTTGTCTTCCTCACCTATCCCATGTTGCTAATATCAGACAGCAAAAAGAAATATTTGGCCTATTTATTCTAAGGAGGGTGTTATTTAGGTTCATTTAAAAAATGGGCACCGAATCCATCAAAAAATAGATTTTTATTGTTGTTTTTGATAGTGTGTCATGTTTTGGCTAAGGGATGGCTGGGGGTGTCAAGCAGTTTATACATGAACAATTTTTTCTGCTGTAGATTATCTTGACTCGTTTCCAGTTAGCTTCTAACTAGATGTATTGGGATGTGAAAATAACCTTGGAAAATAGGAGGAGGAGCCACAGTCTAGATCAGGGTCACCAATTTTTCAGACCTCAAGGACCACTAAATTCATAATTTTAAATCCCGCAGACCACTAATATGATCTGCCTAATGGCTAGGTGGTCATGTGACTGGGTGGGCATGGCCAACTTGATGTCACTCACATTGAGGGGCACCTCGCTGGCCTCTACTCACCCCCCTCAGCCACTTCTTGCCTGCCCGCCTGGGCTCCTTAGGGCCCCAACAGGAAGCAGTTATTGGAGCTAAGCAGCCCCCACAACAAAGAGTTGGAAAAACAGGTGGCTCGGTTCAAATTGGATCTGACCGAGAAGGAGGTTCAGCAGAAGCACCTCACTGAGGACTACGAGAATAGGCTTTCCAAGCAAAGGGAGGACCTGTGAGCGTGCAAGGCCAGGTACTGGCACCTGGAGGCTCCTCAATGGGCTGAGATGGTCAGCCAGTTCCAGGCCATGATGCAGTCTCACTAGAACAAGGCCCTCTAGCTCTTTGCCATCAGCGGGCCCTTCCTTCCAGCCTTCACCCAAAGCCCTGCACCAGGAGGCTGAAGCAGACCCCAAATTTCTGCCCCCCCTTCAACCTGCACAAAAAGACCCCAAAGCAACACAAATGTTCATTGCATGTATCTGACCAAGGGGCCATAGTTTGAGGACCCCTAATTTAGTGCAATATAAAAAATGCAAACAATTTTTCTGCGGACCACCAAAATTTTCTTGTGGACCACCAAGTCTAATAATAAATAAATATTGGCTTTTAGTAGGTTGCAGCAAAAATCATTTGCAAAGACATGCATGCAACCAATGTTTGAAAAAGCCACTTGAGGACAGAATCCATTAAAGTAGCTGGAGCTTTCTTCATCCACCCACAACCCGGCTGCTCTTTATCATACTTCTATTTAATTTTAGTTAGTTGAAGAAGTCTTCTACAGTACATTTCAGATGAGTTATGCAGCCACTTCTAGTGTCTCTCATCCATTTTATGAGAAACTACAGAAAAGATAAATGAACCACATCCATACTAATGAAATCCTGGTACCCTTCATTCCTGAACAAAACTAGGACTTCCTTCATGGTTCTGATAGGCAAGAAAAGAAGAAAACCACTGTTGAGAAGTTCAAGTATCCCCGGTGACTGTAGATGGAAACTGAGATTTGTCACCTGTGCTCTTATATCACAGGAATTGAAGCCAAGTTCAGTCGTGATAAAAGTATATGATGATTATAATGTTATTCTACCTTGTTTTAATTGGCCTTTACTATATTCTTTTAAGTCATGCCGATGGATCAGTAAAATTTTGGGATGCTTCTGCCAGTAAGTTTCTATATTTATTTCTGCATTATAAATGCATGTTTCAGGTTTGAAAAGGAGTGAATTGATTGCAATTACTGAATCTGTTACTCAAAATACATGAAATTGGTACAGTATAATGAATTTCTGAGAAGTTTTGAGATGTTATTTGAAAGAGAAAAATCATAGCAGAGTGTGAATGAGTAGGAATGAGTAAGAGTCAAAACTGTATGCCTGCAAAGACACTAGAAATCTAACACTTGTTAGATTTCTAGTATGGTTTGGTCTTCATGTGGTCTTTTTTCTGATTCTGCAATTGATTATTAAGAGGCTTCCTTTGCTTAATTGTGTATTCAAATGATTAATGAATAATTGAAATGATTGAAAGAAGATTGGAGTACAATACATATAATGTAGTCTGTTCTTCTCATTTAAAACAGAGTGTTACACAAAGTGAAGCCCCTGGAGTCATAAGGAATCTCTTTCCCTTTTTCCTGCTGCTCAATTCATCTGCCGCCCATCAGAAACAGATTACTGATTATAGGCTAAAATATAATATCTGAAAAATGCAAGGGAAAGTTCAGTATTCTTTTGACAGTACAGGATGTTTAGCACTGAATGTTGTCCTTCACTTTTTAAGGTGGTTTTTTTTTTTGTAAGCACTAAATACCAGCGCTTTAGACATTTTACAGTGTGCCTGTGCTTTTGATACAAGGGCCCCAAATAGAAAGAATCCCAAAACAGTTAACTTAATAGAAAATACAGATTATAACAATACAGTTTCTTTCCACTTTCCATTTTAACATCAAAGTGATATAATAGATCATTTCAATTTTTTCTAGTCACACTGCAAATGCTGTACAAGTTAAAAACTTCAAAAATATTTGAAAAACGGAAGTTGGAAGGCAAGCCATCAGCAGATATGATAGAAGAGGACCCTTATGCAATCCAGTTAATGTACTGGTGTCCTGAAAGTAGAATATTTTGCATAGCAGGTGGCTCTGCATATGTTATCGTTTATAGATTCAGCAAACATGAAGTTAATACTGAAATATCGGTAAGTTTGTATGAGTGTTGCTTATACACTGATTTGTTTACATTAATATATCAAAAGTTTCCCTTTAATCGATTATAGTTACCAGTAAACATGGCTATGTTTACCATGCAGTGGTTACAGTTTAAAGTAACAAATTTGGATATGCAGCTAGCTGTTATGGCTTTCCTATATATTTTAAACATTCAAAGGAAGCTGTAATAAGCATACTTTTGAGGGTGACTTGCATGGGAAGAATGTCAAAAGAGATTTTTTTTGAACTAGCAAGTTATTTTGATGCTACAAAAAGGATATTTTCCAACTACAAACTGAATCTGTTAAAACAAAACATTTTATTGAATGCTCCCTTTCTGACAGTCAGTTTTTATTCTTCTGGGTCTTTTTCTCAGAAGAACTGTGTAGTCCTTGGTGCTCTCTGAGCTTGGTGGTTTCCTTGTAGATGTTTCATTACCAAACTAAGTAGCATCATTCGGGCTGGTGCAGGCATAGGAGAATATATGTGCAAGAAAACCACCAAGCTCAGAGACCACCAAAGACCCCACAATTCAACCCTGAGCTTTAAATATTCTCTTCTATTGGTCTCAGAAGAACTTCTAACCATCTTTCCTTCTCATAATCCATGCTTTTAAATCAAGAGAATTTGCGGTTTTGAATTTGTAGTATATGAATTAGTTTTATCTCAATTATTTCTCAGTGGTCCTGTGGAGTTTCTCACAAACAGCTCCAGAAAAAGTTGGAGGTCTGACAGCCTATGGCAGTGATGGCTAACCTTTTTGGCACCACATGCACATCCCCCAAATGCAACGTGCGTGTGCCCTGTGCATGTGTCCACCACTGCGCATGCACGCATGACCTCCCCTGCGTGCACCCCACCCCCACGCATGCACGTGCGACCCCCGGGGGTGCATCCTGTTCCCCACTCATGCTCAGCAGCGACCCAAAGACCAGCGGCGGAGCATGCGTGGCAGAGCTGAGCTGGGGTGACAGCTCACGTGCCCAAAGAGAGGGCTCTGTGTGCCATAGGTTCTCCATCATGGGCCTATGGCTTTCTCCACAGGGAGACCCAGCAGTCCTTTAAATAAGCCCAAGTCCTAGCCTGCCATCTTGATCTCAACATGTCTAAAGGAACTAAATAAGTTTTCGAGTCTAAGCCCTTGAAAGGGGAAGCTCACACTTTTAGTGGTCTACCGAGGCGTATTATTTATTTAGAAAATTTATATAACCATGAACCAGAGAACCCCAAACTCAGAACCACTCGGTCTTGCCAGGGTTCAGTTTCAACCTGTTGCTCCCCATCCAGCCTCTAACAGCCTCCAGGCACTGTGAGAGGGAGGACACAGCATCACTTAATTCACCACTTACATACTTTATGTTTGCAGAAATTTGCAAGTCTACATTGCAGGCCTTCGTTCCACATCATCATAAAATAGATTGGGAAACAAATTCTGGGAAAGTATTTACCCTTCCTTAATGTCTAGGTTCCTGTTGGTCATAGAAATCTCTATAAGGAGCAGGAATCACCTTCATGTTTAGATGAGAACAGAAAAATTTATTCTCTGTTTCTGTTTCCAGGAATCTAGACCACAAGTTTAATATGGTACAGTAGGAAGACACGTTTAGGGTGCCTTCTTCATCTGCTTTATTTTTCAATTCTGCTTTAGAGTTGACAGTCACTATAATTTTGATGGATTCCTTCATATTTAGCCTGGTTTGGGAAGTTTGCAGTTTCCTGGCATGTAGCTGACATTCTGGAATACTGTGAAAGCAGATTGGCTTCACAATATTGAATCTCTTAACTATATTTCTAAATCTAATCTGAGTTTTAATTTTTTTAAAGTCTTTAGAGGTACAGCTCCAGAGTGAGATAGAAGATACCATTAGTCCTGAAGCAGAAATTATGACTCCATTAGCCGATGCCTCTTTGGATTTTTCATCTTTAAAAGACCTCTCAGGCAATTGCAATACTCCATCTGAGCGAACAATGGATTGTAGTCCATTTCTCAGGTAAAGAATGTAGACGGATTTAAATTGTCTTTTTTTGTTATTTTTCAATATTTATCACAAAACTTCTTCAACGTTTTCTGCTAAGATTGTGAACTATCATGCATATTGATACCTCTGTATAAATAGTATCTCATGAATTATTTTCTGTTTTTGTACTAAGAAATTGTTACTGATAGTTCAGATAAGCGTAGTTGCTCACTATTAGACTGTAGAAATCATTCCTCTCATTTGACACTGAGCTCAGCAGAGCTGATTTAGGAGCTACCAATAAGTATGTACTGCAGTAGATTCCTGTCACATCTAGACTGGCACACCCCTCCATATTTGTTTCAACCAAGTCCCTAAGCCCATTCTTTGAAGTTGCTGCCACATGAGGATCAAAGGTTCTTCTGAGAACTAATGTTATGTTGGCAGTGAATATCAGAGTAGAAGGTGTTTGAATGCTGATTGTCCCAAAAGTAAAAGAATGCTTCAGTCTGGGGAGGAAAGAGGAAGGGCGAGCTGTGTTCTCCAAACCAGTCTTATTGCTTTACTCCATCAGTCCTTCTTCCTCCTCTTAAGGAGACTTTGATGGCATCTCACTTATGCTAGATTCTCACATACTGGTGAAGCCTAAGTTCTCAATTTCTGAAAAAGAAGCATGACCGGTTACTCTGGACTAGACTAGATTTCAGCACTGATATTTTCCAGAAATACAGAATTCATAACATTATGATTGCCAAATTAATTAGACATGGGTTACATGATTATTAGATTAATTTGCAGCTGGCATATAAACTGTGTAGTTATCAGTGGCACTGTTGGATACCATGGGGTTGGTTGTTGGCCAAGTATCCTTTGATGTCCATATCAATAACATGAACAAAGTGGCCAAGAGAATACTTATAAGATATTCAATGTATAAAATGAGGGGAATAGCTAATCTTCAGAAAACAGTAACATTTCCCAAGAATTTAAATACTTTAGAGAAATGAAATGAAGCTAACAAAATTGGGATAGCTCCAGAATGGGATAGAGACAGGGGACAACTTAGCATCTTCTCTTTTGTCATGTTATATTTTTAGGCCCTGTATTAATAAAACATTACAATTTATAGCAATAAAACACTATTATTCTTCCATTCAAATGCAATGACTGAGTTTTGTTGAAAAGAATTGAATTTATTTATCTGTATTTAGTGCCATACAGTTAAGCAACCAGGAATAGCATTAAATGATTATTCTAATTCAAGGGTCTTCAAACTTGGCAAGTTTAAGACTTGTGGACTTCAACTACCAGGATTCCTGAGATAACATGACTGGAGGAGGAATTCTGGCAGTTGAAGTCCACAAGTTTTAAAGCTGTCAAGTTTGAAGACCCCTGTTCTAATTGTTGCTTTTTAGTTCAACACCATGAAATGTGCCAGGTGATGATAAAAAAAAAATAGGGAAATATAAGAAGTTTCATTTTGCTCTGTTCCACAGTGGAAGGGTAAGCTAGGTTTATTCCAATAGCTCTTTAACATTCGTAATCAGGGGGTTACTATAGATTGCATTCTTGCTTCGGATGAAAAAGCATAATAAAATTTGAGTTACCCTTGCTTCAAGAATCAAAAGGGGCCTAATATTACAATATAACATTGACTTGTTTTATACAGAAGATACTATTGGAAACAATTGGGATGAAGCAAGCAGTTGAGAGGAAGAAAATGTCAATCCATACTATTTAAACATTTATACACACTCAATGATTGTCACCTGCTTTTCTCCTTAGAAATTATACAGTGGTGTGTTGACTTTATATTTTCTCGCAGCCAGTTTTCTTATTAGTGCAAGTGATTTCCAACTGGGTAATCAGATTATTTTGATCATTGTTTCTTCTCTTCTTCTTAGTGTGAAGACTCATGCTGTAAGAATGCCTCCTGGTTATCAGGCAGAACTTGTTATTCAATTGATGTGTGTAGATGGTGAACTTCCTCAACAAATAACCAGCCTAGCAGTGAATTCAGCCTATGGATTGTAAGTTGTCCCATTATATTTTCATTTCAGTTTGGCCAGTTTGGCTGGCTGGGAAGTGGGAAATCTTTAGAATGGAGATCTGCCTGGAACCAGTAATAGAACCAGTAACAGAACCTGTTCCAGGAAGAGAAAAGCATATTATTCCTAGTAATTTGTCTTCTTTTGGTGGTTTGGGAAAAATGGCAGAAAAGATGGGACCAAGATGCAGATGTCTATTACTCCTTACTCCAAACGAAAGTGCTATCCAAACAACCATTTGCAAAAAAATAAGCCATAACAATCAAAGATCTGGTGATTTTTGGTTAAAAAATCTTTTTATAAAAAAGCTTTATTAATTTTACCATTAAAAACAACACTTCTACAAATTATATACAGAAGAGAAAGCAAACAGGCCTTGGCAGAGGCCGAGAGGGAAAGAGAGAAGGGCAAATGAGGGAGGAGAGGGAAGGATAAGGGAAAGGGGGGATAGAATGGGAAAAACAGTTAAAATAGAACCATATTTTTGTGACTGTCTGCAAGATCCTTTCTTCTTCAAATATATCGTCAGCGGTACTTTTCATTAACTCTACTTAGGTAAAAAACTTTTTAAACACAATCTTGGGATCCTCATGGATGTTCTTGATTTTTTTTTTTCATGAAAGCTATCTGAAGCTGTCAAACCATGGAGGAAGAAACATTAGAGTTCTAAAAACTTATTACAGCCTGTGCAGTTCAAATCAAGGCATGAAATCAAGGCATGGATTTCACTTATTTTTCCACTGGGGTCAGCCATTATAAATTACTTTTACCCCATCACGGATCAATACAAAATTTTCATAATCTCAACATTGGTGGCATACCTATGATAAAAAAACAAGTATTTTGAGGCATGTAGATTCATATAAGATGAATCCTTCATCCTTCTATCACCCTCACCATCCTGCCCCACCCCTCCTCCACAGGGAAAAAAACAGTCCATTGCCTTTTGAAAAAAGCACCTTTGAGACAACTGTGACCTGGATTACTGAGAATCTCCACCGACATTCATAGTCTATAGAATCATAAGGCTGGAAAGGACCTCACAAGTCTTCTAGTCCAAAGGTCCCCAATCTCTGGTCAGTGGCCTGGTACGAGGGCCACAGTCCTTTGGAAACTGGGCCATGAAAGCAGCAGGCGAGCACATAAGCATGCAAAGCTCCGTTTGCCCAAGCAGCAGGTACGCACGTGAAACCATTCCCTCTCCAAGCCCGTCACTGCTGCTGCCAGTCTGCAGAGCTGGAAAGTTGGGGACAGGTGTCCTAGTCCAACCCCATGCTTAAGGCATGCGATCTTATACCATCCTATCAAATGGTCTTGAAAAGTGTGAAAACATTCTTGAAAACGATGGAGCGATGGAGTATCCACCCCTCTGGGAGGCAAGCTATTCCACTGATTGATTGTTTTCATTGTCAGGAAATTTCTCAATTCTAGGTTGGATCTCTCTTTAACAAGCTTCCACTTATTACTTCTTGCCTTGCCCTCTGGTGCTTTGGAGAATAAATTTATTTTTATTTATTTATTTGATTTGTCAATTGCTTACAAGACAATAGGTATAAGAATAAACTTGGGTATGAATACAGGAAATAGGTACGAATAAATGGGGACAATAGCTGGGACAGCCAAAGCAACTAAGAAATGTTCAGAAACGGTGCAGATGAACAGTGATTGGAGCTGGGTGAGAAGATTCCTTTTTATTCAGACTCTAACTTTAAAGCAAAAAAGAAAGGAAAATCCAGAAAAAGAGACTCTGAAAACTATTTTTCAAAGCGGCTAACAACCATAGAGTGAAAAATCCTAGACCTGAAAGAGGAACTAAGAGGAGAGAAGCTAAAGATCTTTTAAAACATAGAAAATTGGATTCTTAAATTGGGCTTCGTGGCAGCCATGATGGATGCCTCTTCTCCTTGTCAAGGGAGAGGGAAGAAGCCCGGAGTCCATCAGGAGAGTTGCTGCTCTTCACGAACTGCAGGGTACCCCTCTTTTCTTCACCACCCCTACAAGGTGGCCTTCGCTCCTTTTGGAGCCCTCCAACAGGGAAAACTCGGCATGGGAGTGTGGAGACCTGCTCCTCACATCCGACAACGCTGCAACGTCAGCACTGGCAGATGTAAGGATATGTTCTTAAAGTGTACAATGCTTTTCCTTCATGAACCAGCAACTGTCCTTATTACTTTCGGGTTTTACAGAAAGCAGACCTGAAGGGTGGCCCATAAAACCTTAAGTATATGTACCTCCTATCAATAGGAGATTAGTAACTGCCTGATTAACCTGCTTGGAAAGATATGCTTAAGCTTCCAACTTCTGAAGAGCTGTAAGAGATCCTCCAGAAGTGATATGATATAACCCAAAGAAATATTTCCTTCTTTGGTTTACTTTGGGAGTTTTAGGACCAAATGTGAAAGAAGGAAGTCTCTCAGAGCCAAATTGTTCTCATTCCCATCCTTATAAGCATACTTACAAAAAAAGTGACCATATGTGCCAATGCCAAAATGTGGCCATGGTCTCAGCGGCCTGGTCTCAGGGCACTAAATATGACATTCTCGGAACTATATGTCACAGGTAGACTATGAGTCGCCCACCCACCCACAGCTTAAGTCAGCTCTTCTTGACAAGCAGGGCTCCCTTTTCAGTGCTATTGTGATAGCAAAGGTGAATGATCCATCATCTGATCTGGTTCTTAAAATGAGCTAAATTTAATTCATTTGATTTAGATGCCATCTGACTCCAGATTTCTTTGGAGCTCATAGTATAAGAATAAAAGACAATATGCATGATAAAAAAATAAAAACAAATAAAAATAAAAATTAGGAGCCTTTGTGGCACTGTGGTTAGAGTGCAGTATTGCAAGCTACTTCTTCAAATCCCACCAGGCTCAAGGTTGACTCAGCCTTCCATCCTTCTGAGGAGGGTAAAATGAGGACCCAAATTGTTGGGGGCAATATGCTGATTCTGTAAACCACTTAGAGAGGGCTGTAAAGCAGGGGTCCCCAACCACCGGGCCCCGGACCGGTACCGGTCCGTGGAACATTTCCTACCGGGCCACCGGTTTGCTGGGCGCTGCCATCTTGTTTGATGAGAAAGTGCTTCCGGGTGAGCTTTTCCAGTTGGAAAGCGGCGTTTGGGTCCTGAAGGAATCCTCGCACCTTAGTTTCATCGAAGGGGTGGGCTTCGAACGAAACTAAGGCGCGAGGATTCTTTCAGCACCCAAGGCAAGGCGAGCCGAGCGACTGTCCCGAAGCCGTCCCGAAGTGAAGCCCATTGACAAAGGTACAAAGGAGGAGTTCAAGGTGGCGGGGAGAAGCGGGGGACGGCTGGCTGGCTGGTCGCTCGGCTCGCCTTGCCTTGTCATGTGTGCTGATGCCGGTACCGGGCCGCGGATCATTTTGTGATGCCGGTACCGGGCCGTGGCACAAAAAAGGTTGGGGGCCACTGCTGTAAAGCACTATAAAGTGGTATATAAGTCTAAGTGCTATTGCTATTGCTATTATCTTACATGAATGCTTCTTTGTTCAAAATCTATTCCAGTTTCAGTACTTGAAAGAGATAACTCCAAAATACTTAAACCATGTTTCTTTTCACAGAGTTGCATTTGGAAACTGCAATGGTCTGGTTGTTGTAGATTTTATGCAGAAGACTAAACTGCTGAGCATAGGAAGCTTTGACCTCCACGGATTGAGTGATCCCTATCAGCGCCAGCCTCGTTCTCCTCGCAGAAGCAAGCAGTTTAGTGCAGGTAGCAAATACAGTGAAAATTAATTTGATAACATTTCATTTTGTGCCCTGCAATTTTGGGAATGTCTGTATTTAGAAAATATATGTTGACTGCTTAGGAAAATATATAAAGAACAAAGCTATAAGAAAGATTCTAGCAGGTGATTAGCCAAATACTAATAAAAGTAAGATTGCAAGATTATGACAGTTTGATTGGGTGTGGGTTAAAATCTTCTTTCTTATCCTGCTAATAAAAATAAAAACAGCTGTTGCTGGGTTAAAATGAAGACTTGCTTTATATTCTGATTCTACAATAACAAATTAAATGCATATAGTTTTTCCAATCTAAGCATAATTCAGCAAATGATATATTACGATTTTGAAGCAGAACTACATAAAACACATAATCCCAAATTAAGCCTAATACTGTTTCATAAACACATAAACATACACAGATAAACGTTCATGAGACTTCTCAAAATTTAGGGAAAGAATAAAAACTTTGCTTCCTCACTGTTTGCCTTTTCAAACATGTTAAGTGCGACCGCTAAGTACAGAACACTTACAGAATACAGTTATTTTGAGTTCCAACAGAGTTGGAAGGGACCTTGTAGGTCATCTAATCCAGGGGTCGCCAACCTTTTGGACCTCAGGGACTACCAAACTCATAATTTTAAATTCCAGGGACCACTAATATGAATTTTGACTGACGGTGGCTTGCTGACGTTGGTGGGACAGAGAGCATGTGCGAGAGAGAGATCTGATCTAACCTCTCTCTCTCTCTCTCTCTCTCTCTCACACACACACACACACACACAGAGGCAGGGGTGGGATTCAAAGTTATTAACAACTGGTTCTGTGGGCGTGGCCTAATGTATGGGTGTGGCTTGGTGGTCATGTTACTGGCTTGGCAGAAGCCTGATGATGGCAGATGAGATTCTGCCGAAACGTTGCTACAACTTTAAAAGCACAACTACAATGATGTGGGAAAATACCCGAGCAAAGCTGAATACCATATATATAGTTTAAATATACATCCATGTTATGTCTGAACAGAGTTAGTTCTGGGTATGATTCATATTAATCCAATTCGTAGTAACAATATTAGTAATCTCTATCACATTGATCAAATTTAAGTAATCCTCATTATATTGTTTAAATGTACATAAACAAAAAATGCCTAACTCCCCATCTTTTTCCTCTATCTTCATCTCTATCTTTCTTGTTCAATCTAAACATTTGTCTATTGTGTATAGACAAAGTTGGTTCTGAGTATCATTCATATTAATCCAATTTACACTAACAATGTTAGTAATCTCTGTCACATTGATCAAATTTAAGTAATCCTCATTATATTATTTAAACATACATTAAAAATGCCTAACATCTGTAAACTTCTAATCTATCTATTATTTTTATTCATTCTATAAAAATTATCGTCTAATATTTCCCCATCTAATTTTATTTCTGCCTCTTTCAGTTTACAATCAGGCTACTTTAATATTTAAAGGGCAATTATTTCTATCCATCATCTCTTCTTCTCTTTAGTGCTTCAATTCATTTTTTAAATTTGCCTCCCACAGTCCTCATCTTTATCTCTGTCTGCATCTATATCTTTCTTGTTCAATCTAAACATTTCTCCCAATACAATTTTATATTGCCAATTCTTCCAGATGTCTGCCCACATCCCAGTCTCCTTATCAAAAGTATCCTCCTGTCTCTCCAATTATCGATTTATCTGTTTGATTTTCTTTGGTCTTTCTTTGGTCAGTCCTATTTTTTGCTCCAGTCCTTGATTTATTTGTTGATGTGGCCATATGTTCTTTCTGCTCCTTTTGCTTGCCATTTATCTGGTTTTCCTCTTTGTCGAGCTGTTGCTTCATTTGCTGATTTTTCTGATTCATGTTTTTCCTTGTTCATATTCAGTTTGCTGACTTGAGTAATCCATTTCATCTAGTCTTTCTGTTGCTTCCACCAGCTCATGATCTTTATTCATTGTTCTTTGCAAAATGTTTTCCATTTTCTCATCGATACCATCGATTGAATCCATAATATTTTGGAACAACGAAGGCATTAAAAAGTCCTCTCATTTCCACAGCTGCTCCTTTAACTCCAGTCATAATAGCAATAAAGATGAAATAAACAATAAAGCCACAATCTAGTTCAGAAAGAGTCCAAATTTACAATCATTAGTAGATGCGACTCTCCTCTCAAATTTCCATGCTGCCTTTTTTCCAGCAGGTATTTATTTCACTCAAAATCCATTTCTTTCAAAACAAAGTCAATTATTTAAATGAGCCAGTTCCAGCATTTAGTCAATACTCTGATAGCCCAAGGTACTTTCAAAGTTCTTTAAGTCTGCTCTGTGATTTTAGTCTTTTATTCTAGCTTCCCAGAATCTCTTTCATATAATGTCTTTCTTATTTCCACCTCTGGTAAGCATAAGGCAATAAACAGTTAAAAGTCACAGCCACCAGATTTCAAATATTCCTTTCCTCCTCTGTAAATTTCCAGGAGTCTAGGAGTCAGTTTTCCTTTCGTCAATAGATGGCATTCTCGACTTCTTCAGATGAGGGGGATTTTCCAAGTTAGGGAGGAGAGATGAGGCTCTCTTTGACCTGCAAAGTGCCCCCATTTGCTTCACCACTTCTACAGAATGGCTATGGCTCCTTTTGCAGCCCTCCGACGGGGAGAGCTCGGAGTGGGGCCACGGAGCTTGTAGCTCTTGCCTCTGACACCATTGGAAGCAGAGCTGGAAGTCCCAAAACTGCCTTAATGCCCTTGAAGTGCAGGAAGGATTGCAGAGGAGTCGGTGTTCTTATGGGGTCCATGTAGTATCAGACTTTCATCCCATCTTGAATTGGGGCCAGAAGATACCCATGAAACATTGAAAGTGCTTCAGCCAGAGGACAATGTGAAACTTTAGACAGGCATCCTTTATCCTTGGCCATCATGATGCCACTTCCTAGTCTAGCTGCAATGTCTGGGCTGTCTGCAAGAGACATCCCATGAAAAGTGTATTGCAATAATTTATTCTTGAGCTCATTGAAACAGATCACTCTCCTCCAGATAAGGATGCACATGACGAAGCTGAAGCTGATAAAAACCCTTTCTTCTTACCAATGTTATATGATTGCCCTGAGAAACGCCATCCAGGAGAGGCATATCTCTTTGTTCAGCCCCTGGAATCAGTAACAGTTACATTTTGTCTGAAGTGAGGTTCACCTTATTCTCCTACATCCAGTTCTTTAAGGTTTGGAGAGTAACATAGGTCATGGACACAACAAATCATGAGCTTGCAGAAAAGAGAAATCTACCTACTGTCTTCCTCAGTGGCCTCGTATGGAAGATAAGACCTTGGGAGAGTGCCTAGCTTTGTTCCGAAGTAATCAAGCAGAAGTTTATCACTATCAATAGCAAACAGTTTCCAATTGATTCAATTGATTTCAATTGACTTCCTAATAATAGATCTGCAAAATTCTGTGAATGGGTACAGTCTTTTCTCCTCCGTAAGGAAGAGATGCTCCTATTCCCACTTTGCTCTTTACTCAGTCAAAGTTCAGTGGTTCACAGTAAGTCATTCCTGAATCTAAAATTATATTCTGGTACCTTGTTTCTTGAAATCTTGGCCGTGCACAGGTATCTGTTAAATTTAGTGCCAGATTGCTAAATATTATTAGTATTGTTTCTACCTTTTTTGTAGAAGAATAAGATCTTGCATTTTTTTTCCATTTAAAAGGCTCCTTACTGGGTATGTATGTGGCAAAAATTATTACTAGAGTTGTCCAACCGCTGCTGTCTCAGAGACAAGAAGCCTTTATGAGTTCCACATGCTAGTTTCTATTATTTATTTTTTTTAAAATGACATTTTACTCTATAGTCCAAGTCCATTGAATTGTATCGTGATTGAATTCCAGGTAGCAAAATGGCATTCATTGCCAAGAATACAATTGCACAATTCCATACCTGTACTTAAATCTGTTCTTGTGGGTTGCAGACCACCTAGAGTAAAATGTGAGTGTGTATGTTCAGATTTGTAAGATTCTATTATTATAGATGTTCTAATAAAAGTAGCCTTAGGTCTGCATAGTGTCTACTTTTTACTTTGGTTTATCTTATAGGGCTGACATCAATCTTGCAAATCCAAATGTGCTTCCTTTCCTTCCTCTTTTATCTTCATATGAATTGTGTGGTCAGACACTGACTGAAAAGTTCTTGCAAATCACATTTTTGTCTTGGGATCAAATTTTGTCTATCTGATCATTGCGCTGGTTGGTACCAGATCTTCCCTCTGTCCATCAAGCCATCTTATTTATTCACTACAGAATGGAATGGAAGAGAACAAAAAGACATCTTTTGAGGAAAAGTCTGCTTATATAATGTTGATTGCAATAATTATTAATGAATTCTAATTTAATATTTTAATAGGTGTCACAGAGGTACCCGATGGTTCACTTCCAATGGAGCTGGAGAGGTGCAGGTCCCCCACAGCTTCAGGTAATTATTATTTGGGGGCTAGTTGCCTTTAGATCTAGCATCTCGGAATCTCAATTTGGTCTTGCTGCCTTAGAAGCATGAAATCAAGTCAGAACAGGCTGAGGTACAAATAGTTCTTTACAAACAGTTTTCATTTTGGACTCATGTAGAAAGCATGCAGATTTGTTTACCATCATGTCTCTCAAAATGTTTTAAACCCATTCACTCCTCCTCTACCAACAGAACTAAATGTCAGCTCACGTATAATGTATTGGGAGTTTGATTATATTAGCTCCTGAGTTGATGTGAAAGAGCACACTGAAGACTGGTTTAATAAGGGAAATCATTCATAAGGGAAAGGCATGTCAACCACATACCATCAGATAAGGGCAAAAGAGATGTAAATGGGCATAGGAAAGGTAGGAAGTCAACTTCTGACCTCTTTTTTTCTGAAAGTTTTCTTAGACACCCAAGATGTGTAAGCAGGGCAATCTATTCTTTGTGCCCAGACATTTGCATTAGCTTTGTATTAAAATTAATCTTACTTTTATCTTCCTGGCGCCATTTATAAAGAAAGATAGAAAGGCATAGTTGGTGGGAATTGCAAGAATAAACAAAATTAAGTTTTTCTTTGCCTGAATGTTATTCCCATAATTCTGTTTTAAAGAATAATTTCTCTCTCTTTTTTAAACAAACAGTTGAAGTGAGGGGTCTTGCTGGACAGGGACCATGAAATGGAGGACAGAGTTTTGATTCTTTCTGCCTTCCACAGGGCTGATAACCAGGCCTTATTATGCCTGTGTTTGCAATAAGAGGAAATTTCCAGTGCAACATGTTGTATTCAGCAGACTAACTTCAAATGCCAGCCTGCCCAGTTTAAAATGAAAAGTGTACCCAGTTGGGCCAATCTTCAAAGGTTTCTTTAGGGGCATTATGAAAATAAATAGTTAAAACCAATATGATTTAATATTTTGGTAAGAATTATTGGAAATTAGAATTGAAGGCATTGTATCTTTAAAATTTCGGATGTATTTGGTGGTTTCAGTGGATAAATGTAAACAGATGTCTATTTGTATAATTAATGTTTTTTTTCATTCCCCATTGCAACCTTGTTGTTTTCTAGTCTGGTCTTACATTTTGAGGACACATTAGGGGAATTAGATAATTATTCCCTTCTTCTATTGACTGTTAATAGACATTAATAAACATTGCACTGGGTCCCAAAGGTACAGTAGTACCTTGATACTCAATTGTTAATTGGTTCCAGGAAGTACGATGAGTACCAAAAATGATGAATACCAAACAATATTTTCCCATAAGGAATAATGTAGTGCGTTACAAGGCAGTTGACACTGACGATTCTAGCTTGTACATAGAGTACCAAACAAACAATGAGTATTGGGCAAACTTTTCACATCAAAATGTGTTGAGTACCAAATTCGATGAGTTTCAAAGCAGTTAATGTTTTTCTTATTTATATTGATTTTCTTTCTTTGCCTGGAGTTTGTATCTAGGACACAGTAGATAATTGTAAACCTTCTTCAAGTACATATGAGGGGTGTTGGGCTGTTCAACTTTAGAATCAAAATAATGATAACAGGATGCTCCAACAAAAGTTCTGAAATTTTTATTCACTTTTCTAAGTGCCTCAGAAAATGTTCAAGGTATAATCCACTGGACATATAATACAGGAGTTGGAACATTAATTGCATGCTTTGGTCTTATCCTATTATTGTGGTTTGGGCTGCCATCAATAAGGCTGTTAAAATGATTCTGTACCAATTGTAGCTTCTGAATATTTTTCAAGGGTAACCCCATGTAGTGTGTGTTGCAGTAATCTAACCAAGTGATGAGCAGGGCATGAGTGACAGCATGCAGGGTCTATATAATTTACAATATCTTTTACACAAAAAATGCATTGGATCTTCAATTTTGAACAAAATTTGGTATTCATTACAGGTATAGGCTATTACAATATTTTTCATGTAATAGTAAAGAGAAATATCAATGTAGCTTTTATTACTGGTAACAGATTGAATAAAGTTGTTCTCTTTCTTAATTTAATTAAAAATTATATTGTATAATGTGTTTTGTAAAATTCTATAATAATATAATGCCTACTTTTTAATTTTGGTAGATTATAGAAAACAAATAATAGTAAACAGACAAATGTTCATTTTCTCAAATGACAGTACAGTATTTAAAAAATGTGTATGAAGCATAAGCTGAGAAGAAATTGTCAAATAACTGCAGCACTAAAGGCAACCTCTTTTTGATCTTAATGAAAATTCTAATGTAATCTCATGACAGATTCTGTAAATGGACACTGTACAAATCCAACTTCCCTAACTTACAGTTCTGGAAAACGGCTGTCCAGTGCAGATGTTTCCAAAATCAATCGTCGCGTTCCTGGGAAACCTCCATTTAGGAAAGCACAATCTGCTGCTTGCATGGAGATCTCTTTGCCCATCACAGTGGAAGGTGAGTTTCCATTTACTGTAGATATTTCTGTTTTCATCTTTCAAAAAAAATTAATTACAATCTATACATGAATCAACCATGTCTTTAGAGTTCTAAAGCAATAATCATGTACGTAATTAAAAATTAATGTCTGTGAAGAGCCCTGCTTAATGAATGAGCTACAGCTGCTCTAACAATCACAGATTGTCTTGGGAGAGGAAGAGATGGTCACATAAAATACATTCTTTTTAACTGGATAATAGCAAGACCATAACTTGTCTTGGTAAATGGCAATTTCATATGTTAATCTGTTTTATTTTCTTTCAACAGAAAACAGAGAGAACTCATTCAGTCCTTCTCGAAGTTCTAGTATCTGCAGTATTGACAAAGAATCTAAGGAAGCAATCACAGCTTTAAATTTCATGGAGTCATTTTCACAGAAAAATGACGCATCTCTGTCTCCTTGCCTCTGGGTTGGAACAGGTCTGGGTGTAGTCTTGACTCTTTCCCTTCACCTTCCCACTGTCGATGAATTAAGGCAATCAGAGCCAGTAACAATTTCGCTCAGTGGTAAGAATTTCAGATTGCTGTAGTTGCTGAAATATGCCAATTAACACAAAGTCTAATTAGACTATGTCTTTCTATGCTGTTGCCTTGAGGCTGTTAATTGAAATAGAAAAGAAGAAAGGAAGGTCACAAGGATACTTCTGCTAACCTCTGGGATTGCCCATATGTATACTTCAGAGTTTGTATATGTCTGTGCATGTCTACATATGTATGTGTAAGGGGAGAGTAAGGTCATTTGAATACTTTCCAAAACTGAAAATAACACCAGTCTATTTTACAATTGAAGACAAATATACATGTCCCAAGATAACGTTGCAGGATCCAATTGGGTCGGTCACTGGGACCAGAGGTGTTGTATTACAAGCTTTTGGACTTGTGCTGGAGCCCCTCTTCAGGGAACTTCTCTCTAGCAGGGTGCGTGCTGTTCTGTGTGTGGTATTTATAGTACCTGTTGTATGTGGCTTTTTAGATGTTGATTGGGGTGTGTTGATGGCTGGCTTTTAAGTCATTAGCTGTCATTTGCTTGTGCTGCCCAGCCCTCACCTTCTAACTACTCGATAGGCTGGTGGTAAATCAACACTCCTGTGACTGATGAGGGGCCTGTTTCCCAGGCCCAGGCTGTTTTTGTGCCTGCTCATCCAACAATCTTAGTAGCTACAAAATCGAATTCATTGGTAGCCTCACACTGCGATGAACAAGGACACACATTTAATTTTGCAGCTACTAAGATTGTTGAATGAGCAAGCACAAAAACAGCCAGGGAAATGATTGAAGACTGAGAAAGAAGTCCCCTCATCAGTCAACGGGAGTGATTTAGCACCAGCCTACTTAGAAGGCAAGGCTGGGCAGCACAAGCAAACATCTAAAAGCACATCAACATCTAAGAAGCCATATATGGCAGGCGCTATAAATACCACACAGAGAACTAGAGAGAAGTTCCCTGAGGATGGGCTCCAGCATGAGTCCAAAAGCTCAGAATACAAAACTTCTGGTCCTGGTGACCAACCCAGATTGGATCCTACAAGTCTATGTCTAGTGTATCCTAGATTTGCTCTGGAAAAGATAGTTAAAATGGGAGCAGATTGAGTGGGAAGTGAACCAGTGATCCATCCTCAGCAGTCTGAACGCATATCCTTTTCCTCAGGAAGTAGCAGGAAAGACTAAGAATTCCAATACATTAGCTGACAAATTTTTATTTGAGCCTAGTGACAGTCCTTATTTTGATATTGGATATTTAAAAAAAAAAAAAGACGCCAGCATTTGGGTATCATAACAAAAGAAACATTGATATCATTACAAATACATCATTTTTAATGAGTTTTGATTTAAAGTTAACTCTTTTTTTAATTAAAAAGAATTTTGTACAACTCTTAAAAAGCTTCTTTAATGCAGTACATTGCTATATTGAAAGTAACTTATATAACTTACATAACATTTTATGTAACTATTAACTCTGGCTTGAAATGTAAGGAAGCTGCTAGAAATAAAATTGTACTTATTCCAGAGCACATAACATTATTTCAACATTTTTCATCCATTAGGATTATGAGGGGAATATACTAAGAAATTGGGGAGTGGAGAGAAAATTCCTTGATCTGATTGAGTACAGTTTATCTAGACTTAGAGGTCTGACCCTGTCTTGAAATCATATAATGATATATGCAGAAATGGTATGAGTTGGAAAAACAGTGTGGGTATGTGTGTCTGTCTGTCTGTATTTGAGAGAGAGGAAAGGAGAGAGAGATAAATATTATAACATAGCTAATCCGTACTAGCATCAGTACAAGTGGTTTAGAGATTAATGAACCCTATGAATTCTGTTTTATAGGTACAGTTCTATCACTAAAGGGAGCAGTGTTAACCTTTGCTTGCTTGGACTGCATGGGAACATTCATACATCCTCCCTATGAAGTATGGAGAGATCCAAATGCCACTGAGGATAGCGAAAGAACCAATAAAAGGAAACTTGTCCTTCATTCTTCATGCTCCCAGAACACAAGAGACCATCAGTTTGCCATTATCTGCTCAGAGAAACAAGCCAAAGTATTTTCATTGCCTTCCCAGATATGCCTCTATGTTCACAACATCACAGACACATTATTTTTGCGAGCAGATGCAGTGACCTTCTGTAACAGTGTTTGCTTGGCATGCTTTTGTGCCAATGGGCATATCATGATATTGAGGTACTTGATAACATTTCATGAATGTAAGCCATGACCCTTTCTTGCCACACACAATCCTTGAGGTGAAGAGGAAAGTGGCACTCTTCGCTAATTGCTGAACAATGAAGTCTGTGAGGTGATGGTAAAGATGGATCCCTCTGAAGGAGGATTCCAAGGAGATTCTGGTCAAGAGAATGTTTTAAGAAAACACATATACAATATAAGCACATCAAGAACTCCAAATTCCATGCAATTTATTTACTAAAATTCACAAATCACCTTAAAAATAGCTAGAACCATCCAAGTGATTTCTAGGCCTTTTTGGAATAAATTTCCTGTGTTGATTCTGCTAATTTCAACTTCTGATTGCTTACTTGCTAACCTTGGAAATTATCTTCACAGCTCCGATTATTGTATCTAGTAGTCTTCTCCCAAAGAATAGAATATCCGCCTAAGGAAAGCTTCAATCATTCATCTAATTTCTTAACTTCCCTCCAATACCCAGACAAACATATGATCCAAAATATCATCCCCAGCTATCTATCTTAAGCAGGGCATAAACACCACATGAATCTCTCAGGCTCAAGAAGATGGACTATCTATGTCCTTATAGCTACAGAAGTATTTTATAGTATTTAGATCATTCTCTGTAGTTGGCAGAGCCTGGCTGAGTCTGAAGTTCCCTTACTCTTTAGCAGCTCACGGAAGTGACTTATATGCAAGTTTAATTTACAAGTGCTAGATAATTTAACTTTTCTTTTGTACAGCATTTGGGTACAATATAATCCAGGAATTTGAACAGAGGATGAATCCCCACCTGCAATTGCCATAGCAATTGATTGGTACATGCATTTTCTAATCTAATATTGAGGTTTATAACTTAATGTTGATAACTGTTTTGCATTTAACGTTCCCAAATAATTATTCATAGATCTGCAGCCAGTCATTCTGATTATTTTCAGTTTACCCAGCCTCCGTTCGCTGCTAGATGTGAATTACTTGCCTGAAACAAATACAAGGATTTCCCGGACCTTTTGTTTTACCAATGAAGGACAAGCTTTGTATCTTGGTTCTCCAACAGAAGTCCAGCGACTGAACTACAGCCAGGAAATGTTTGACAATCTGCAGGTAGATGTTGAAATATAATGAAAAATGTAGTTTCTGTGCTGTAAAAGTACAATGCAAAAAAAATAAGTTTGTTTCCTTGAATCCAAGTGGCTGAGCTGGAGATGATTTGAGAGTCCGAGAATTCAGACTCTCAAATGCAGACAATACTTGTGACATAATAATTTCAGCTCTCTCTCAAAACGACAGCTCACTGGCTGCCAGGAAAAATGAGAGTCGTAGCGAAATCCTTTTGAGAATAGTGTTCTTTATAGGCAGGATATAATCTCTGGATGATGAACTCAAATCCTCTTGTATTAAGGATACTTCAGGGGAGAGAGAGAGCTTTGGATTATGAGTTAAGTGATCAGATGGGTTTGTGACAGGCATGGAGATTGCATGATGACCTGCCTAGAGCAAGGATTGGATATCACAGACTTAAACAATGGATAGTCCCTGGGATGAGGCAGCTTTGGTACCAATGGCATTATAAAATGTAGTTCAGCCAGACCTGGAAGCCAAATTTAGTTTGTTAATTTCCAGATTGAAATCCAGGATTCCTAAGTAATATTCTCCCAAACGCTTCCTGTTCTGCCATCTGGACAGGTGAAGCTCAGGAGTCCCACTCCATGAATGAAATGGTGCCAGGAGGTAGGACTAAGTCACATCAAGCACTGAGGAGCCTATGGGATCCATGGTGCTCTTGGAGCTTGGTTGTTTTCTTGTGGACTTAGGTAACATCAATGCTAGAAGGGAGCAGGGCTTGCTCTGTTTACATATAAGTAGCTTATCCCCGTCAGTTGTTGGGAATGCTCTGGGTGATTCCTTGATTGGGATATTGTTTACTGCTTGATTGTTGATCTAGTATTAATCTTGGAGTTAATCCTTGTTTATCTGGTTGTTGATTGCTTGTGAATAAGTGTTTTGGTCTTTTTATTTCCTTTTTAGTTTTTTGATTGTCTCTTTTGAATAGTATATAGATTTGTTTATCTCTGGCTGGTTTGTCTATGTGCCAGGCTTCAAGGAATTCTCTAGTATTTTTGGACTTCACTTGCTCTAGAATGCTTCAGTTGAAAATATGAAGTCTGTCCATGTACTATTAATATTAATACTATTAATATTAATAAAATATTAATATTTTTATTACAATCTTGTGGGGCTTCATTACTAGTTGTCCAGGGCCGCCTGTGGTATGTGGGTTGGACATGCCTGGTATAGATGATCAGTTTCCTTTTCTTGATGCTCAGGATTGCTGCAGTGCTTTTTTTTTCTCATTTAGTGTTTTTACATAGCATTCTTCAGAGAGGGTAGGTTATTATTTTTATAGTGAAAAAAAGCTTATAACACCACCTTTTGGGGAAAAAAAACCCATTGTGTACTGATGTTTCTATAGCAATGCTAGAAAGATGCATGGGGTGAGGACAACAGTCATTGTGGTTGGCAATGTTTTCAGCGGTGTGCTGGAGATAGCTCACGCTGGCTTATGAAGGCCAGTTGTTAAATTCTCTGGAATTTTGTGGGCCAGTTGACAGCAAAGGTACCAGACTGACCACAACCTAAAGGTGAGCCTTAACACCTGGCATGCCAATTAGCTGTTGTACAGTTAATGGTCACAACGGAGTTGGCAGAGCCATTTTTTGGAACATTTTAGAAGTACATCATGGGTAATCTTACTATACAAGTATATGTGCTGTTGCATACATTCTAGATGTAGCCCTGAATATTAACCATGATCTGTAATGAGATGTAAAGCTTTGTTTCCATAAATGCCAGCAGGGTTCAACATAGTCACATTGGTTACTAAAGGTGAAACAAAAAAATTAAATGGTCATGAAAAAGATTGAAAAGTTAGGGACAGTTTGCCTTATATTGCCTGAAAGTTCAACTACGTGTATTGTTTCCCACAGCATAAGAAAACATCTGCTAACTCTATGAAGGGACTTTTTTGACCAAGCGAGGCTTTTGTGTGATCCATCAGAGTTCTCATTGTTGGGAAGGTTATTGATTATTCAGAGATTCATTTTTCAACTGGCTTCTGGCAACCAGCAGATAAATTTAACATTGAAAATTCATCTGTTGGTATATCCTACAAACAGCCTAATAAACATTCAGGAGCTTCTCTTATGAAGTTTGGTTGAAAAGACTTGAAATGGATTGTTTTTTGTGCTGTTGTTTGAACAGGACATGCTTGGTGATTTGTTCATTCCCATGGACACACCAGAAGCCCAATACAGAGGTTTTCTGAAGGGGCTGTTTGGTGGAACTGGTGGAACACTTGACCGAGAAGACCTGTGTAAGTGTTTTTCCCATACAATGTATCACAAAGAATAGAAATCAAAGTAAAATATAGAAAATGGAAATAAATTGAATAAAATTGTGATAGTATGACACTGGCCTTTCTGAAATGGTTGTTCAAAACTAATATTTAAACAATGTTGCAAATGTTGTTCAAATGGATAATTTAAATTATACCATTTAACTCCAAAACTTCTATAAAGTTGCTATGTATCTGTGTGCTAAAGGCTATGATGGAGGTACTGAATAATGCCTATTATGTATCCAAAGATAAAAAATACATTGTATGAATATCTCACCCAATGATTCCTATGAAAAGGGAAAAAAGATGGACCCAGATATATGCAACTAGTATCTTATTGTACTAATGTAAGGTTAATCTGTGAGGCGTCAAAAGCCATCAGTTACTTGCATGAACTTGGTAAAGTCTCATTGTTTGACATCAATAATGCCTACAACTTTCTATTGCATTCAGTATATTCCATTCATCTTAAGACTGACTTCAGACCTCATGGCTGAAACATCTGGCCTAATTTTTGGACTTTCTTGCTTCTCCATTCCCTGCTTTTTGTTACATGTTGCCTGATGAAGAGTTCTTGAAAACTTGAAAGTTTGCACACTCTTCTGTGCCATTTTGGGACAAAATAAAGGTATTACTAGACTCTGGGATTTATTTCATGGACAATATGGGTATGTTTGCTTTTTATTCTATTGAGGCTGTGGGGGGGATCATTATATGTTTTAACCTTAACTTACAGCAATATAGTATTAATTGCATATACTTGGGTTTCTTGATTACAGAATGATCTGATAGGCGCACAACACACATTTTCTCCATCAATTATCCCTATTTTCATCATGAATAGCTTCCCCTAAAATTGAAATTGGGACGTGGTAAGATTACTGTATGTTGGTTGTCTTCTACCATCTGGGAAGTATACTGTGCCTGACTAAAATTCTCAAATGACCTGAATATCTAGAGGGCTCTATATTGGGGAAGATTGTTCTGCAGAATGAAATTCTACCGAAGAGTTATCCCATTCCGAATAATATCTTTTCTGAGAATGGAAATGTTTTCCCATGGTAGCCAGGATTTTAGTGATGACAAGAAGCAGTCCTTTTGCAGATATTCCCAACATATCTCAATAAATAGTACTTATTTTGTACAATCTATTCTTTATACTACAGCCCAAAATTGGTGGGACTCTTAAAAGAAGATGAAAAAACATTGCAAACAATTCCAATGAGGAAATAAAAAAGGAAGGCATCAAAAGAAGTCAAAGCACAAAATTAAAAGAAAATAATATTTGGCAAAAAGTGGGTGTTGAAATATTGCACAAGAGCAGTATTTCACAGTCCCCTGGGCTCTGGAGGTCTGCTAACTCAACCAGATTTTAAGGGACCTCCAGGAAGGTTAAAAAAAATGATGCCAGCTTTACTTTGAGAAAAGGATATTAGATAAAGCAGGGACCACAGCAGAGAAGGTTTGCTGCCTAGGACCCACCAAATAAAGTTCCCCAGCTGAAGGGATCTACAGCATGCTGGATCTGGTGGGATTGGTAGATTTAATTGGGAGGTGTGGTCCCTCACATATCAAATACCTCAACGTTAATACTGAAATGGGTGAAGAGAACATAACAGTGACAAATCACATAGGAGACAGAAATACAAATCAATATAGAATGGGAAAAATATCGGTTAGCATCAGGATTTGGAAAAGCAGTCTTGGAACAGTAGATGAGTACAAACTGAATATAACTCAGCAGACTGTGGCATACCTACCAAAAGGAAAATGCAATTTTAATCTGTATCTAAGAGAAGTATAGTTTTTAAGTCATTGAGAGCCATAATGATGTGTTATTCTACTTGGTCACACCTTACCTCAAGTACATTGACCAGTTATGGACATCATGCTTTCAGAAATAGTCACATAAACGAACAGATTTAAATATGAACAACAGAACTGAACAAGGGACTAAACACCCCCTCCTACCAAGGATTGAAAACATTTGAGAATTTTTACTCTTCAGAACTGGCAAAATATACAATTTTGAATTATTTGAAGATATGCCAAATGGAAGTAAAAATTTAATATCTACATCCTGTGAAGACAGGTTCTAAATTCATGTTAGGGGGAAAAACATCCTAATTTGAAGTGGAACTAATTATCAAAGGAAGTGATGAACTCCATTTGAAGGGATACAATTCAAATGGAGTTTAGACAACCATTTGTTGGGAATGTTTTATTTTGGATTCATGATAGCCTAAAGTACTTCTCCCAACTCTACGATTCAATAATGCTTTGATTCTGTGATCTGAATGAGAACTATTTCTATCATCTACTTCATCTGTTGGCGTAGGTATAGGCAGGAAGTTTCAGAAACGCAATAGAACACTTTTAATTCTGTTCCATTTCCAGTTGGCGAAGCAACATCAGGAAAAGCATCTCGTACTCTTGCTCAGCATATTCCTGGATCAATTGAGGGTATGAAAGGAGCTGCAGGAGGTGCTATTGGAGATCTGGCTCGTGCACGCCTCGCTCTTGATGAAAGGGGACAAAAACTTGGAGAACTAGACGAAAAGACAGCAAGAATGATGTCAAGTGCAGAGGCATTTTCCAAACATGCACATGAGGTGGGTAGTGATTTTGGAGTAGCATTTCTTGTCTTTACTGTGCACTGAGATGAGGGATACCTTTGAACTGATTTATTCACTCCATTAGGCAGATGACAAGTAAATCAGATTTGTTTGAGACCTTCTTTCCTATTTTGGTCCATATTTAGTGCATTTATTCTTTTCGTTGCAGTGATTGTGGTGAACAAATGTAGTTAAGAAAGAGAAATTGTAATAAATGAATGGCTGACAAGCTGGGATAGAAACTACTAATTGTACTTTTCAAAGTAGTTTTTTACAGGGTTGAATCCAGTTCTTTCAACTGGCTAGTTTGACTGCTACTAATCTTCTCTTTAATTTCCAGGGGTGCCAGAACCTCCGTGCTGCCTATGCAAGGGTGGTTCAAATTTTTAAATAACCTGTTCTGTGGGTGTGGCTGTTGGTGGGTGTGGCTTGGTGGTCATGTGACTGGGTGGGCATGGCCATCTTGACATTACTCACATCAAGGGTTGCTTCTCCTCGCCTGGCCTCTCATGACAGTGGGGATGTTGCAATGGTTGTAAGTGTGAAAAATGGTCATAAGTCACTTTTTTCAGTGCCATTGTAACTTTGAATGGTCACTAAATGAACTGTTGTAAGTCAAGAATAACCTGTACAAAAATACAAAAAGCTTGCTTTCAAAAAGCTGCTCTAAATACCAATCATTAGATTAAAAATACCTGCGAGCCAGAGTTACAAATCAGGCAGGATGCCAGAGCACCTTGAGGAATGAAAATAATTAAAATGCAATGATAACTATCAAGCAGCCAACTCTTGCTCATAAAGTGAAACCCTTTAGCAGAGAGATCATTTAAGCTCTCCAGGAAGAGCACACCCAGGAGAAGCAATCCTTAGATCCATTTGCACCACTTAAAGATACCCGGTGGTCTCACTCATCTCACAAGATATCCTAAGGAAATAATCCAGATTTAAGGAAAGGTCACATGCCCTCCAGAAAGGCAGTCAAAAAATCAGTGCCAAGCTTGCATCCTGCCTCTTGGAAGTATACCCCAAAAGGACAGATACCACTAAAGCAGTGAAGGAAGACCCCCCTCCCCAGATAGAAAAAGAAACCATGAGGCGGGGGAAAATTCAAACACAATACAAATAATTAAATCACAACAGTACCTGTTGCTTGTTAAACCAATTACCAGAACAAATAGACATAGGAACTAGCAGATTTCTCAAACCAGTTTCTTTTCAGGAACAAAGATTAATCTTTTTCCTTCCAAACTAAGCTGAATAGGGAAAATTATCCCATCAATAAACATAGAATTAAACTTCACCAAGCACAGAATTAAAATTAACCAAAAACCAGTTTTAAACCAAAACTCAGAAAGTTATGTAAACTCACATTTGAATGTCAATCTTTCTAGCTAGTCAAGAAGTATTTTTGCAGGAGAGTATTTCCTCCCAAAAAGCTTAAAACAACCCTTCCCCTTTAAAAAAAAAAAAAAAACCTCCTTTGAGACAGTAAGTGTAGGCTGTCTGCTAAGAATGTAATAAGGATGGAAAAAAACAAAAGGTGATTGCTTCTAACTACCGGTTCTCCAAACTGCTTAGAAAGAACTGGTCAGAATCGGTAGAATCCCAGCCCTGTGCCTATGTTTTAATCATACATTTTAAATCTCGGGATGGGAGTTGGTTGATGCGCTGCCCACAACTAACCCACGCAACCATTGTCTCTCTCAAACATCCAGAATGACTTGGAAAGAGGTATGACTGTTTGGCTTTCAGTCCTTAATACCTCCCCAAACAAAAATTGGCTAAATGTTTGGAGAAGTTCAGTGAAGTGCTTTAAGCCTCAATTGGTAGTAAACATGTCTTTTTCAAATGTTAGCAACCCCCCACCATTCCTTAATGGCTAATAGCAGCAGAATTCCTGGTCCTGGTCAAGACATGTTACATCAGTTTCCCATATTTTCAAATGTCTGCTCCAGCATACAGTCTACAAGTACCCAAACAGATAGGCAGTCTCTGGAAGTTGAAGTTTAGGGTTCATACCACAGATGTTAGGATGAAAGGAAAACATTCATACTGTATCTCCATGTCACTGGAATATTGTTATCTCTATTCTTTCAGGTAATGGTCAAATACAAGGACAAAAAATGGTACCAATTCTGATTTTCAGCCAGGAAGCTGTCCTTGAGTGTGCTGTATTGAGAAATTAGTGGGACAAGCTTCAACAGAATGGCCTCTTGGCAGAAGTTGTTCCATGCTGTTTCCTCTTTCCCTTTCCTGTCCAAAGAAGATAGTAGTTTTCTAAGGCCACTGCATAGTGGATCTTTGCATCTATCTTGAGTCTTTTCCAAATGATCAATATCTAACAGGTAACATTTAACTGGCTTTGAATATAAGCTGTAGAAAGGAAAACTCCTGGTTTGAAGCAGCATGTATATATTAGATTGTTAATGCAGTGACATGAACAAAATTTTGCATGATTAACTGGCTTTCTATACAAAAAAAGCAAAGCATGCTATGACTAAGGAAAGGGGTTTATTGTTATGTTCCACAAATACACATAGACATTTTAAAACATTTCTAGCATGTTGCTTTCAGCTGAAAATAAACTGCATTTCTCTGATTTGACATTCTTTTTTTTGTAGGCAAGTTTAGTTTGAAAACAGTCATGCATTTCATTATTTAACAAATAAAGTCACATAAAGTTTAGTGGCCAAACCTTCGTGCTTTCTTTATGGGACATTTTTAAACAGATATTACTATTGTATCTGATATTACATATATTCGTTAATTTTGTTTCAACAAAGTTCCAGATAATTTTGCAACTTTTCCAAAGTTCATGGGTTATATTATTCAAAATCACATATTTTTGTCTTAAATCTGCATATTTTGTAAAGTTTTTGAGCTGAGAAATATCTTGATGTAGTTTGTGGTGGATTCTTTGAATTATGTTTCTGGTTTCAATGGACTTGAAAGAAATCTGATGGATTTCTTCAATAATGAGAGTCTTTGCTTCTACTTTGGGAACTGCAGCAAAAATTTATAAATAAATGATACAAATTAGTGTTGTTTTTTTCCAGTAATTATAGTAGAAAACATATCTAGTAAGCAGGTTCTATTAAGACATAAATTTCATCATTAAAAAGGATTGCAAAGATCTGTTTTGGGAAATCCCTAAGTTAGATCACTGGTTAGATCACTAAGTTAGATCATATGGCCAAGAATGAAGTCGGGGGTAAAAGGCTTTTTAAAAACAAAGGAGCCCACTTCATACAGAGATTGATAACATTTTGACAACAAAGTTGGTGTCAAAACATTATCCCTTCCACAAAAAGCTTTGTTTGACTGAGAGCTTCCTGATGCGTCTACCAAGGAATACCTAGTCTTATCAGAGAGTAAGGCAGATCTGAGACAAATAGCTTTATCTGCCGGTCACAGATGCTGAAGTTACTGAAAGCATAATTCCTGTTAGGAAAAAATAGAAGAGAAACCATGCTGTTACTCAAAAACTTAGTGAATGAACATCTACAATTCACAAAGCCTGTAAGTGATAAGAAAAGGAAAGGGTCGGCAAGGAAGAGTCAGAAAAATAACTTGGAATTCTAAAGTTTGAAATGAACTGAGGCTGATGAAACTTTCAAAACAAAAGGAAAAGCAACACTGAACCAATTACTCAATGAATATATCAAAAGGACCACAAAATGATGACAGGTTAGGCGGACTGCTCTACTGTATAAAGAAAAGGGTATGAGTGTGTAAAAAATAGTTTTATAAAATTGTGCATAGAATGGAGAAATGTATTAAATAAAATTGTCCAGGTTTATTACAGAAGCAGGGAATGATCTGTTATCTGTTATCACATTTGAAGTATGCGGTTAAACATTGTATGGTATCTAAGCCAACAAATGTTGATGTAAATTCTTAGCAAGAGTTTTATGCTTATTTAAGAAAATAAATATAAATAAAAAATAAAATAGATTTATTATTTATCATTTAGTAAATGAAAATTCTGATTGAGAATTTGGTTATGGTTACTTTAATTTGAGATGCGCTCCAAAATTAGGGAACTGGTCTGGATGCAAGACAAATAGAATTTAAAAATATTTTTTGTACAGTTTAACTATGGATTATACTATCATAAGTTTGGATGGTAATCATAAAAGTTCCTTTAACAAAAACTTTTAATAAACAACAATAAAAAGAAAGGTAAATTGTCATTATTTGTGTTCATAGGTTTTCCATTCAGTAAGACAAATACTGAAAAATGCTTCAGATCAGTGCTTCTTAATTCGGTTCATGAAGGTACTTATTCCAGCTGTGCTTTGGGGATATTTTCATCAGGGAACATGATTATTTATGTGCTTTGAAGATTACTAAATTGGGTTGCCCTGAGAAGATTCCACCCTCACTGGGCAATTATTTTCTGTTTATGGAGAAGGAGTTACACTTTTAAGATTCTATCTTCTTTGTCTAATAAGTTACTCTACATTTGATCAAGCATAGCTAACCTTTTCCTTAGTGGATATCCAGAATTATTCTGTGACTCAGATCACTTATTTCTCTATCTATGAGCTCTGCTTTTTCCAGAAAGATGCAGATTTCATGGTTATAGAATTGGTGACAGCAACCATTGCTCACAGATTTGCTAAGCCATGGTTCATTTCATCGTGGTTAACAACAAGCCACAATACACTACGTTCACCTAACATGCAAAGCAAAATTGAAGTAAATTCTATTTTGTACACCAGTCAGTGAATATTGTGTGTGTGTTCACACTGATTGGTTAATAGGAATGATTGTCCTCACATTTTGACCTTATTATCTGTCTAAAGAATAGCGCATTATCTAATCCTAGATGTTCCATCATTTCCAGTAATGTGAATCAGAATTTGAAAACAAGAACTAATTTAATTGACCAATATAAATCACCAGATGAATTTGCATTTAGTTGACAATTACACTTAGCATATTATCCTCAATGGAAGGGAAGCATGCAGTCGGGTATCCCAAGCTTCTGTTTTGGGGCCAGAACTGTCTAACATCTTCATAAATGATCTAAGTGAGGGGATAGAAGAGATGCTCATCAGATCTGCAGATCACAGCAAGGTGAAGGGAATTGCTAACAGTTTGGAAGATAGGCTAAAGATTCAAAAGGATCTTTACAGAGTTGAGCATTGGGACTTATCCAACAAAATGCAGTTCAGTTTTGACAAAAGTAAGGTCTTGTACTTAGGTAGGAAAAACCAAATTACCGGTATAGATTAGTGGCACCTGGCTCACCAATACTAACTGAGAGAGGGATCTAGGAGTCCTAAGGGACAACCACTTTACTTGATGCCAATAGTGTTTATTTGAGCCAATAGTGTTACTCCTTGTTGTGGTTTGTCGACTGCCAGCTGAGTTGGCAGTCGAATCAGAGGAGATGGAGGGGGTGCCTGGATTACCATCAGGGTTTGTGGAAGGCTCCGAGGAGGAGGTTTCAGAGCCAGATGCAGAGCAGGGCCCATCATCTCGCGCTCAGGCAGAGACAGTTGTTTTGGGGCCGTGAGCTGAACGAGGGGAATAGCTGGGGCCTGTCCCAGATGCACGTATGCACAGAGAAATGCAGAGAGGACAGCAATGCAAGTTCCAAATGCTGAGTTAATTTTCAAATGCAGCTGAAGAGAAGGAACATGCCTCTATTTATTTTACACTAAGTGATGAAGTATATTATATTATGGAACAAAGTGAGCAAATTCATTGACTGATTTCACATTATTACCTGGCATATAAAAATCACGGAATTATTACAGAAACCTGAGATACAGATACTCTTTATATTCAAATTACACACACAGCAAAATAGATTAATTCCACTTTATTATTCATATATTTCATTATGTACATGAAATAAGTTAAATATATATTCTTCATAAAAAACTGTACTAGTAAAATATAACAACTCATTCTTCTAGCTGTTCTTAACTGCATTGCATTTAAAAAATAATCTTATATTATATGTTAAGAGTTAAATATGGACTTTGGAATCACTAAGATATTACCAGGAATTAATACTATTTGGTGAAATAATTTCATAGTGATTTTTAGTTATACCATGACATCTGAATTATTTTCTTAACAGATTTAGGGACCAGATTTTTTTCTGAGATATTAAGGGATGTATCAGTGCAAAGAAAAAAGAAATATGCCTATGCATTACAAATGTCTGTTCATCATTCAGAATTCCAAGTCTTGGAGATCTCCCCAGCTAGGCCCAATTTTGATCTTTACTGAAAGCTTTACTGAGAGTTTTACAGCATTTTCCATTTCATGTTTAACAATCTGTGCTACCTGAAAACAACAACAATATAGGATGGTTACCATGAGATTCTTCAAATATGTAACTTTCTTTTTTTACTAGTTATCAAAGTTGAATAAATCTTTAAGGTGGGTCACAGTATCTTTAATATTAGGGCAGGAACAATCATTCAGAGAATCTGAAAAAGTAATTACACAACTGACTCTCAAAAGAATCATAATCTATTTTATGTCATTTAGAAAAATGTAGAACCATATAATTATGAAACTCAGCCCAAGCATACATGGATGGCATTTCGCAGCCTGAAGAACCAGCCAATTTCAGAGCTAAAGAAGCTTCTTGCACAAGAAGCAAAATGTCTTAAACGAAAAAACAAAGTCCAGTTGCCTCTTGAAAAAGCATCTTTGAGACAACTATGACCTGGATGACTAAGAATCTCCATTAGACATTCAGCCAATTTGCACTTCATTCCCTATAGCTCTGAATGCAACTTCTGTCTAAAGTGACTATAAGATGTAGATCTAAACATAAGGACAAAACTGTATTCTTTGCAGTCAACTTGATAACCCTACAGATAACAACCAGTCTGTAAGAATTTCAGGGAAACTATAATCATACCTGAATTATGCCCTCAACCAACCCATGCAACCTTCACCAGCAGTTTACCTCCCAATGACTTGGAACTGATGTAACCTCTTTATCACAAAACCTTCACATTACACTCCCACACCTGAAGCCCTTATAATTAAGAGGAACACTGACACTGGCAACCCTTAAATTCCATCGAAGATGTTACTTAGCCTAGTAATGAAATATTTGGAAACCAATCCACAAGCTTGGAGAATGAATCCTCATACCTGAACGATGTTGTCTTCTGCAACTTCATAGAGAAGTTCATCATGCAATTGGAGTATGAAGAATCCTCCATGTTTGGGATGCATAATCCCACTCTTTTTCATCCTCTGAGATTTTCCTAGAAGAATAAACACTGCATATTTAACCATTAAAAGAATAGTTTCAAAGGACATTAAAAGTTATAAAAATATCATTATTGCTACATGAATAGAAATATGTTGCCTCCAAAGAAAAGAAGTGGTTGTGATTAGTGAAGAAAACTCTGAAATAATAGGGGAGGAGAAGTCACCAGGAGAGTTTGTTAAGCCAATAGATTCAACAAAGCTACATTCATATTCAAAAATTAATATAGAAGCCTTTCTCTAAAAGAAATAACTGTTTTTTTCTAACCTGCATTAGTCAGAACATGTTTAAAATAACA